CACACACACACACACACACACACACACACACACACACACACACACACACACACACACAAATGGCAGGTGTCAGAATCTAACTTCAGATCTGTAGGAATCAGTTGGTGAACTGAGTGTGAGCTGCGCCCCGAGCACAGCGTTTTTCTCGAGCAGGAAAGATTTAAGAGTATAATCTGTGAATGTAATCTGAATGGACCATCTGTTTTCTTCAGACGTGAGTTCAACATCTGCTTCTCTTTGGCCCTTTTTGTTTCCGAAAYGAATGTGCATTTATGAGTCATTTARCCCACTCAAAGACGTAGCTGCCCACCTACAATTCACGCTTCAATGTTCTGTACTTACATTCAGACATTATTTGTCTAAGTGTTTTTTTTTCCTTCTTGGCCGCCGATAGTATAAACATTTCAGAACCATTAGTTATTCTGCCGTATATGCAGGTCTGTGTTTGACTTTTTCCATCTCCCTGCAGGGTTCCTCTGCTGTCTCTGCAGACGGTGATGGGCRACGTGGTGCGGACATTAAAAGTGATGTACGGCTCCTTGGACAGGTCAGCTTTCCTGTTGGTTCTGCTTAAAACTTCCTCTCTAGAAGTTTTAAGCTTTGATGTGAAAATAACACGACTATTACTCCAGGTCGTCGTTCTTAGCTTGGTTTCTTCTTCCTCRTTTGTTTTTGTTGTTCCTTAAGTCCGTGTATGGTTCTTCCTTTGGTTTTTCGTTTCAAAATAAAACTAGAAAAAACTAATAATCAGGTGTTTTTTTTAAATATTTAGTTGTTTTGTTTTATAACTAAATTAGAAAAATGACAGTTGCAAAATTTAAAAAAGCCTATGCTTTTTCTTTTTTCTTTTATTGGTTAAAGCAAACACAACCTTTAAAAGTTGTTAGGACACCATTTGTTGTTTCTGGTGGAACCGAGTATCATGTAGCATCTTCTCACATAGCACCTTAGAAACAGTTTTATTCAGAAGAAGTCAACACATTGTGAGAGCTTTTTTATTGMGAACAAAACTGCTTTAATATTCCAAGTTATGCAGAATTGGGTTCGAGTTAGCCTGGTAAAAACCAGACCCTTGTCCGTCATTTTGCTTCTTTCGAGGGTCTGGACTCTCGGTTACAGAGAAGTGATTCTTGCTGGAGGTGTGGCCTCTGCTGAAGTTTTAAATGAGTGGATCTGTTGGCCGCGACGTATGTGTGCCAGCTCCACTGTGAAGGAGGCTAAGCTAAGAAGCTAACCGGAAATCGCATGTGCTGTAAACAACCCTACTGAGAGGAGAAATATACCRAGCTGAACGAGACGACTGTAAATGAGAGCTGCTGCTTTGTCAGACAAATTTAATTTAATTTGGAAGCCTTATCAACACAGACTGGCTTCATTCACTTCCTCCAC